CCACACCTGTGCCTGCCATTTTAAAGCAGAGGAAGCCACCATGAGGTTAGGTAACGTGGTCACGTTTTCACGACAGAGCTAGAGCCAGAGCCTCAGCAAGAGAAAGGACGAGGCACCCCAACAGGGTCCTCACACCACAATCCACCCCACCTCGGTCAGCCTGGACTGTATGTACACATGCCCCACCTGCTCGGCGAGGTCCTAGGATATGAACTGTGGCCCTTCCCCGTGTGGGTCCAGTTGCATAAGCACTGCACCACCACCTGGCCCTGTTTGCCTTCTTAACAGGGTGCCTAGACATACTCACCATTTGCTGTCTTCTCTCCCTCCTTACCCCACGTGCTCCATGACGCTGGACCTACTCCTTGACTATACAGAAGCGCTCACTCGGGTACCTGTTCACTGCTGGTGGCTCATCTCATCCCAACCATGCCCTGCACTCTGTCCAAGTCTCCGTCCTGGGAAATTTGTAAAGTGTGCCAAAGTGTGTGCCCTCCTTGCTTCTGATTCTCCATCCCAAGAGGGCCTGGAGTCCTGGCCCAATCTCTGCCGTGGAATGTTGAGCCCTCCCGGACCATCCAGTCCCCTCTGCCATCCTCCCCTAATGGTTCAAACTTAGATTGTTTCTAAATAAAAAATATTTTGTAATTGCCAGAGGGTGTGTGCACTCACCAGTGAGGAGCAGAGAGAGGCTAGGGAGAAAGCTTTCCCCAGTGGGGCGTGGCCACTCTCCGACCCCTGCTCCATTTCCATCTTCTCAGGTTGGGGCATGCACACACACGGCCAGGGTGTCTCCAACCTCCAGGGCTGGGACTTGAACTGTAGTCAGACGAGTGGAATCAGACTCCCTTAACCCTTAGATCATGGGGTCACTTCTGTTTCTAATTCTTCATAGAAATAATAGCACAGGAACGTTCTCCTAGAGTCAAACTGTCTACATTGGAGATGATTTCTTTCATACCTGTAGCCACACTATTATGCAAATAAGTTGTCCCAGTTTACACTCACAGCCTAGGAGGGTTTACATTCTTTTGATCTTACCAGTTCACAGTCGTGTTTTTCAAAAACCAGATCTTTATGTACAGGGAATTTCTTCAAGTTGTGTGTGATGATCTCGCCTTGGGGGTTGAGGGAAGGAAGCAGATGGTGACTGCACGTAGGCACTCTGTTAAGAAGGTGAAGGGGGCAGGTGGTGTCACCGTGGTGATGCAACGAGGGACAGACCTGGGTTTGTGTCCTGGGATCTCCCCGAGCACACTGGGTGCCTGTGATCCAGGCTGGCTAAGGCGGGGGTGCGGGGGGGTGGATAGAGACCCTGCCGGGGGATCTTTCTGTCTGTTTCAAGCTCTCTCTTGGTTTCTCTCTCGCTCATGGATAAAATAAATAAATTTAAATAAAAAAACGAATAAACTTAAAAAATGAACAAATAAACAAAGAGGGCCAGGAGGTGCAGTGGTAATGTAATTGGACTCACACGGGAAAGATCGCAGGTTCATACCCTGGGGCCCCCCTGAGCACACAGGGGACATGCGGCTGTGACCCGGGCTGATCGAGACAGAGGGGGCTCGTGGTGCGAGGCCTCTGTTGGAAGGGGGGGCTGCCTGTTTCTTTATTTTATTCATGGAAGAAAGAAAGAAACTTAAAAACAAAAAAACAAAACAAAACAAAAACATTAAAGGAGCATTAGAAAAAGAAAGCAACTAGCCCCCTCAAGCTCTGCCTGAAATGATGGTAAAGGCACTTGCGGGCACAAAGCTGGCTAATTAAAATGGGTAACATCTGTGGATCTCACGTGGTATGAGAAATTGCTCTAAGACTTAATAAGTAATAACTCATGTTATTTGTCTAATAACCACTGAAATGTGTTCCATTCATACTCTATTTATAGATAAGAAAATTAAAACCATTGATACTTGACTTATCCAAGGTCAGAAATCTAGTGAGTGGTAAAGACCGGGTTCAAACACAGCCAGATGGACTCAAGACCCCACACTGCCCCGGTCCACTCTGTTGACAATAAAAAATAAACTAAAGTTAACAGGAGTCTAAACAAATGTCTAGAAGACTGAGTAGAAAAGTGATAACTGAATAAAGAGGGGTGGAGGGAACTTCTACCTGGAGAAATGCAGAGGAAGAATGGTCTGCTGGGTAGAGCCTCGGAAAGAAGACTATAGACAAGCAAAGAGGACCAGGAGGTGCAGTGGTAATGTAATTGGACTCACACGGGAAAGATCGCAGGTTCATACCCTGGGAGGTCCCAGGGTAATATGGGCGTGGTGAGGGAATAAGTTCACCAATCCTAAGCCCCATATGGTATTCATGACAACCTTCAGTCTATATTAGAGGTTAAAAAAAAAAAAGAAATTAAAGAGTTCATGACTGAATTTAAAGGTCTCAGAAAAAAATAGTCCTTACTCAATTACCCTATAGAGAAATTTGTTAGTTGGGACCAGTAGTTAGCTGGCTATGTCACTGGACTCCCATGTAGTTGACCATGGTTTGAGTCCCAGACCCGGTGGCTTAAACTCACGCTGGGTACGTGTATGTGCATGCCCAAGGTCCCGAGAGAGGAATGGAGGAGAAGGGATTGCAGCCTGGCCATCTCCTCTGGGGGGTGATTTCCCACTTTCTGTCTCGGTCTTTCTGGCAAGCCCACACACCCTATAGCCAAAACCTCTCCAAAAAAAGAAAAAAAGAGAAACTTGCTAGATGTTCTTAAATGCACATTGGCAGCCTATGAGAGTATACATTCTTTTGACCTTACCAGTTCATAGTAGTCTCTTTTGAAAAACAGATTTTTTTTTGAGAGGTTTTTTTTGCTTCAGGGCGCGTGCACTCGCCAGACAGACAGAGAGAGACATAGAGACAGAAAGCGAGAAATCACCTCCCAGGGGGGATGGTCACGCCGCAGTCCCTTCTCCTCCATTCTCCTCTCGGGATCTTGGGCACGCACGCACACATGCCCGGCGTGAGTTTTAAGCCACCGGGTCAGGAACGCGAACCGTGGTCGACTACGTGGGAGTCCAGCGACATAGCCACTACACTAACTGCTGGTTCCCGAAAAACAGATATTTATGTACAGGAAATTTAAGTACATAAAAAAATGGGCAATCTAGGATCAAATATATGAGAAAGATATTAGTGTGGAAAAGAGTGAACAAGATAGACAAATTGAAAAATGACCTCAAATAAAACAATTTCAAAAATAGAAAAATAAGTTTTAAAGATTTTAACTCACATCTTTGGGAAGATTTAAAAATATTTTTATTCATAAAATGGAATAAGAAACACTGAAAGGATGAAAAATAATACAAAAAGAGAACTTCAGAATTAAAAAGTGATATATAAAGTAGACAAGTCTAGGAAGTAATTGGAAAAGAAGGTCAAGGAAAGCTTCCGGAATATAAAACAAAGAAAAGGGGCCAGCAGGTGGTGTGGTGGTTAAGGGTGATGGACTCCCATATGGCTGACCACAGTTTGAGTCTCAGACCCAGTACCTTGCTTTCTCATTCCTTTCTCTCTCTCTCCCTCTGTCCCTCTCTGGTCAAATTAAAAAAAAAAAAAAAGTGGCAGAAGAAACAGAACTAAATGTTAAGTAGAAAAGTGACTATACAAAAATCATTCTTAGAAAATTACATGAAAATGCAAGAAAAAAATTGTGTGTGTGTGCATGTGCACACATGTACACCTTTCAGTGGAATGGGCATGTAGTGATAACCAAGGCAGGAAAAGATGTGGGATTCAGGAAACTGGAAAAATCAACTCAGAGAAAAGAGAACCTAATGATTATTGCTGAGCATGCAGCAGGCCAAGAAAACAACCATCTCAGAATAAAATAAGAAGTTAAGAGTTTCCTGGGAAAAATGGCCTTGATATAATACTTTATATGATGCACAGTTTGAAAAAAACTGAACAAATGATACAAGGCAAACAGTGCAAGGGGAAAAAAACAAAGGCAATTGTAAACATCAGGAAAAACTAAATCTGTGCAAGAAAGCATGTGTAGCTTAGCTCTATCGTAAGTGATACTTAAAACTAAATCACTAAAATGTAAATACTTTTGGTTAATTTTGAACTTTCAGAACAAAACAGAACATTTAAATATGAGAGTAAAATACAGTTGTTACCAATAAGTGTTAAAAAAATTAAATTCAGTGGTAGAAGTCTGGGGGTAAAGCACTGAAGGTATATGAAGGAAGATTAATACTCTGATTTTACAAAGTGAGACATCAAGAAATACTGCTTACAGATGAGGGCAGAAGAAATGAAGGCGTATGGCCAGCAGGTGGTGTGGAGGCTAAGGCACCTGCGTCACATATGGTCGACTTTGCTACTTTCCCAGATTTGGCTACTTGGAAATCACACCAGGCATCTGCGCGTGTATGCCCAAAATCCCAACGGGAAAATGGAGGAGAAGGGATTGCAGCATGATCATTCTCCCAGGGAATAATCTCTCACTTTGCCTCTCTCTTTGTGTGTCTGTCTCTCTCCAGAGAGCACACATGCCCTATAGCAAAAAAAACCAAAAAAAAAAAAAGGCAAGAGAGAGAAGAGTCAGGATAAAGTACACTCACAAAAGATAGACTTGAAGGCTACAAAGGTGGTGTTTATGCCAAAAAGTTATCATAATGAGAAATGCCCAATTGTTCATTAATAGGAAGAAGGGGAAACGTTTCCTTTTTTAAAAGAACTACCCCATTTAGGGACCAGCAATTAGCGTAACAGGAGAGTGGCTGGACTCCCACTTAGTCGACCGCGGTTCGAGTCCTGGACCGGGTGGTTTAAACTCACTCTGGGCGCGTGTGTGTGCGTGCCCAAGATCCCGAGAGGAGAATGGAGGAGAAGGGATTGCAGCATGGCTATCCCCCCTGGGGGGTGATTTCTCGCTTTCTATCTCTCTGTCTCTCTCTGTCTGTCTGGTGAGCACACGTGCCCTATAGCAAAACCTCTCAAAACAAAACAAAACAAAAAAAAAACCAAAAGAACTACCCCATTTATCTTTCTTTATTTATTTGAATGTGACCAGAGAGGGTCAGAGCAAGAGACAGAGAGAACACAAGTCACCAGGTCCAGGATTCGAACTGGCAGTGGGCCATGTGGGAGTCCAGTGCTCCCAACCACCACGCCACCCGCTGGCCCCTAAGGGAAGTCTTAATACACGTGGGTACTTTTCCTTTTATTTATTGATGCCCCTATGTGTAAGTTTTGGGAAAAACAACAACACGGAGCAGCCCCTGACATTTGGAAGCTGTCCTGGGCTCAGCCAGGCACCTCATTCTCCTGTTGGGCAAAAAGACTCTTACAGGACTTCGGGATCACTCCAAGACCATGACACGAGACAGAGCAAGACCACTGCACCAATCTGTCCAAGCAAAGATGGCAGCCAGCGAGGTATTTTGTGCCATTTGCAAAATACCAAACGCTCCCTGTGTTGGCTGAAAAGGCCATTGCTTCTGTACCAAGTTCAGGTTTGCCCTCACCCTGTCTCCACTCTCGGTACAAAGGATATTTTGGAGAGGGCCACCGAGAGAACAGCCCTTACCTCCTGCGGCCCCCACTCCCAGGCGGGCTCAGCTCCCCTAGCCTTTTCTCCAGAGCTCCCAAAGAAAGCCCAGATCCTACATGAGGTTCCTTCTAGCACCTTCTTCCTGAGGTTCCCTTTACACTCAGCTGACTGTAGGCGTGTCCCCTGCGGCTTTAATCTGGCCCTGAGTACATAGAGGCATGCTGTCTCATGACGTGAGGAGGACAGAATAAACACGGGCAGCAGGGGGGTGGCCCTGTGAGGCCATCGAGGGTAGGACGGCTCCAGCAGGCTCCTCTCTCTCTCCATGCCAGGGGTGCTCCAGTCATGCCCCGGCAGGTCATTTCCAGCGACTGGTCTTGGCTCTCTGACTAGATTTTTCAAAATTTAACTTTCAATTTTTAGTTTGCCAGAGGGCACGTGTGCTCACCAGGATCTTTCCTCACCTCCTCCCATGTCCCCATTGTGACACTGACCAGTCCTTACAGGCCCAGCTCAAATGTCCTCCCCTCCCTGCTGCCTCCCCTGCCCTTCCCCAGGGTCCCATAATGTAGGGCTCCCCGGTGTGGTTCCGCCTGAGTAATGGTCTTCCAGTGTCTGTCCCCTCGTGTGACTCACAGCATCCCTGGGGCCCTGCTGTATGCTCTGCTGCTTCCCTGCACTGGTGCCACCACTGCCCTGTGCCCTGTGCCCTCCCTGGAATGCCCGGCTAAAATCCAGGGTGCGGGAGGCATTCCTCAGCCTCCTCGCAGCTGAGTAATCCTAGTCGTTTTCTATAATATCTTGATGAACACCTTTTGGTAGAGAACAAATAAGGCCATGACTCAGATTTCACACAAATTACCTCCCTGATTTAATGAGCGGACCATTCTATCAGATTCCTCAGAGTTTCCCTTTATTTCCTCATTCTGCTCCTCTCTGTCTAATACGGATATATCTTCAACTTACTATAGGGCTCATGCGCTTGGCAGAGACAGAGAGGGGAAGTGAGAAAGCTATCCCCGGGGATGCAATTCCTTCTCCTCCATCTCGCTCTAGGGATTGGGGGGTGTATGTACATGTACCAGTGTGTTCTTCTTTTCTCTCTCTCTCTCGCTCTCTCTTTTTTTTTTTTTTTTTTTTTAAGAGATTTTTGCTATAGGGCCTGTGTGCTTGCCAGAGAGAGATTCAGAACGGAAGAAATCACCCCCGGGGGGGGTTGTCCACATCACAATCCCTTTCCCTTTATTCTCCTCATGGGATCCTGGGCATGCTCGCACATTCACCTGGTGCAAGTTTCAAGCCACTGGGTTCGGGACTCGAACTGTGTTCAGCCACGTGGGAGTCCAGCACCTTAACCCCTATACCACCTGCTGGCCCCATCCTGGTGTGTTTTTCAAGCCTCGGGATCCAGGACTCAAACAGCATAGTCAGCCATGTGGGATCCAGATGCCTTAACCACCACTCCACAAAGCTACTCTCATCCTTTTTGTTCACGTTTTTGCCATAGGGCATGTGCGCCCACCAGAGAGAGAGAGAGAGAGAGAAAGGGAAAGTGGGGGATCACCACCGGATGGCCACGCCGCAACCACAATCCCTCCTACTGGGTCTGGGACTCAAACTGTGGTCGGCCATGTGGGAGACCAGTGCCTTAACCACGACGCCACCTGCTGGCCCCAAGCCTTACTGTATTTATGTGAAGATAAAGAAGAGAAAGAAAAAGAAATTTTCACAAAACGTGGATCCCAGCTACAGTCTGAGTAACTGCCTCACCTGAGCACAACACTCCAAAGTCGCCCCTCCCCGACAGAGGCCACCCCAGGTCTAGATCCCTGGCCCAGGCAGCCTGGATCCCTGGCAGGCTCCCTCCCTCCAGCCTCACTCCAGCGCTATTCACTAGCTGCTGCCAGGAACTTCTTGGGGGAAGGTGATCCTTGTGAGTGGTCATTTCCTTAAGGCACTAGCAGCTCCTCTGGAGGCACAAAACAAAACCTCATTACTTTTGTATGCACTAGATATATGTTAAATAGTTTCTACATTTTAAAAAGAAGAAAGAGACGTTTCTCTTAAACAAACCCCAAAGGAATTTAAAAGTAATCTACAAAGAAAAAAAAAAAAAAACCTAAACTAAAAATGTACTAGAAGAAATGTTAGAAAGATACCCAGCCATAGTGTCAAGGGTGGAAGGGCACTGCTACACGATTCTGGAGCCCCAGAGGAGACCCAGGTTTGGACCCCAGGTCAGCCTGAACACACCGGGCACGCCCATGCACAACTGTACCCTTGGCTGGCTCGGAGGCTGTCAAGGCTTCCTGTGTGTCTGTCTGTCTTCCTCTGAAGAAATCATCAAAATTCAAATCCCAGAAGCCATAAAGGGAAATTTAAACCTTTAAAAATGAAAACTTGGAGCCAGACCCTGGTGCAATATTAAGACAGGACACTCTGTGAGGCTGCCCACATGGGGACGTTCCGGGTCCACATCCAGAGACCTCTCCAGGTACTCCAGGAATGAGTGTGCCCATTACCTGGGGCTGGCTGAGGCTGGGGGACATTGCAATGTCAGGACTCCGTTGCAGGATGCTATTGTCTTTCTATTGCTCTCACTTGCGGAAGAAAGAAATAAATAGATGTTATTTAAGAAAAAAAAAAATCAATTGCAAAGGTCATGCATTAGCCAGAGAGATAGAGATGGAAAGAAGGAGAAAAAGAAGGCAAAAGCACCCCTCAGCGGGTGTGGTCAGGTGTAAACTCTCCTATTTCTCCATCCTGTCAGGATTTTAGGCACACAGACACACACGCCTTGTGAGATTTTCAAGCTGCCAGTGTAGAAGGCCGCAGGGAAAATAACATAGCTAATCATAAAATGGAGCCTGCTAGGCTAAGAGATTAACAGCTCTTTTGCTTTTGTAAGACACTTGCAAAAACTTGCCAACCCATTGGCAGTATACCTGAAAATTATGCCCCCCTTTAACCTTGCGGTTTCATACCCTAGCAGCTGCCGTCCCAGAAATCCTTGCAGCCTTTCCTCCCCAGCCAAATTCCCCACCTAAGTTCCCCTTGTGGGTAAATTCTCAATTCGAGTGGTCCCAGTCCTTGACGATCTCGCGCCACAACACCAGGACCAGATTTGAACGGCGTGGTTGGCAGTGTGGGAGCTGCTCCCCTAACCACTAGGCCGTGGGACCGGTCTAAGGCTGACTGTTCTGGGAAGGTCTCAGCTGGTAGTGTGGTGGTTACAACTTCGTGGTTCGAGTCCCGTACCAGGTGGCCTAAAAAACATGTTGGGCATATGTGCGTGAGCCCCAAATCCCAAAAGAGTGTGGAGCAGGGATTATGGTGTGGCCAGCTCCTCAGAGGATGATTTCTCACTCCCCTTTCTCTCTGGTAAGTGCGTGTGCCCTATAGCAAAAGCCAAAACATACATGTACACACACATATATGTATAGCTCCATGGAGGTAAGTCTGACAGCAGGTGTGCATGTGTGTGTGTGTGAGCATGTGCGTATTGCAAGGTTTATCTTTTACCTGGTGCCAACCTTTAAAATGTAATGTTACACCAGTTTCACACCAAATTCCGTATCGCTGAGGTCTGGCAGGCCGGGCTCACACTGGCCAGCGAGCGCCAGCTGCCCTGAGGCTCTCCTGCGGCCCCCCAGGCTCCTGGGCTCCAGTCCCTGCTTTCCCTTCCTCCCGCTGCCCATCCCCCACTCCGTTTTCAATGTGGTCAGCGCCTGCTGGGGGGGTCCCAGGGCAGGGAAGCCCAAACCCATCTACCAGGGGAAAAGACAGAGGCTCAGAGGGCCGTGACCAGCCTGGCATCACACAGCCCCTGGTGGCCAACCTGGCCTTGTGACTCTGCGAGTGAAGCAAAAAAAAAAAAAAAGTGATTTTAGTAATCCAAACGTTTTTAGGTGTGTCCTCTACAAACCAGAGGTCTCAGCTCACACTCCCACTCAGCTCACACTCCCACTTGTCTACGGTCTGATTTGATCTTACGACCACAAAGCCAGGGTCACGATACAGACGCCATTCCACGACGTGGCCCCTCACACCCCACACCTGGGTCATCACTTTCCCATCAGGACACACCGGACAGCCCATTTCTCTCCCATCACCCCATGGCCCGCACGGAGGGCCAAGGAGGAGTCTGCGGCCCTGGGCAAGTCACTCTCCTCGGTATCCCCCTGGGGCCTGGCATAGAACAGGTGCTCAGAGTCAGGGTGGCTGAAACAGCCCCTGGTTCCTCGTACTCATTAGAAACCTCTTCCTCTCCCGCTGAAGTGGCAGCTCCCTGGGGAGCCTCGGGGGCCAGGCTCTGGGCCACACCTTGCCTGACCTCCTTCGCTTCCTCCTGGTTTCCCAAAGGGAGGGGACCTCCCAACTTTCACTTTTCTGGGGTCACCTGGCCACATGCAGGCAGCCTGGAACCCGTGTTGGGCCCTGGGGTGGGGGAGCCCTGTGAGCCCCTCCACACAGTTCCCCTCCCCTCTGGTGGGTAGGAGAGAGTCCGACACACACTGGGTGCGAATCCTGACTCTGCTTCTGCTGAGCTGTGTGACTTTGGGCAGATTTCCTCACCCTCTGGAGAGAGTGAGGAGGTGGGGGGAGTTCATCCCGGCCCCAGCTTACCCAGGAATTTTCTGGCAGAGTTGAGTAGACTCAGCTGATCTCTGCAGTGTGGAGTGTCAACCGGTGTGCGTGGAATAACCAAACACCTCCGGGTCCCCACCTATTCCTAGTGCTCAAAAGGGAAACTGAAAGTTACAGCTGTTGTGTGTGTGTGTTCTAATTTGCCAGAGGGCGTGTGCACTCACCAGAGAGAGCCAGAAGAGAGAGAGAGAAAACATCCTGCCCAGGGGATCGGTCACAACACAATCCCTTCTCCTCCATCTTCTCCTCCTTTTGGGATTTTGGGCATGCACCTGCTCCTGGTGTGTTTTCCTTTCTTTATTTTCTTTCTCTCCCTTTCTTCCTCCCTTCCTTTCTTCTTTCCTTCCTTCTTTTTCTTTTTTCTGTAGACAGGGAACACTTTTATTCAAAACCATCAGAAAAATGGAGTTTGGGTCTGTAACAAGGCATCTATATCTATCTCTTTATGTATCTACACACACATACACATACTTTTTTTTTAGAGAGAAAGATTTTTGCTATAGGGCACGTGTGCTCACCAGAGAGATATAGAGAGACAGAGAGACAGAAAGTGAGAAAACACGCCTCAGGGAGATGGTCACACCGCAATCCCTTCTCTTCTACCCTCCTCTTGGGATTTTGGGCACCCAGCACATGTGCTGGGTCCAGGACTTGAACCACAGTTGACCACATGGGAATCTAATAATGAAACTATTACACCATCAGCAACCATTTTTTAAAGCATGGGTCAGTACTGTACCTAAGAGCTTACACTGCTGTGTACAAATTAACTAAGTAGGCCACAACTTAAAAAAAATATTTATTTAATTTTATTTATTATTATTATGTATTTCTTATTTATTTTTTAAGAGAGTTTTTGCCATAAGGCGCATGAGCTCTCCAGAGACAGAGACAGAAAGTGAGAAATCACCCCTGGGGGGGTGGCCATGCAGCAATCCCTTCTTCTCCAGTCTCCTCCCAGGATTTTGGGCATATACACACCCAATGTAAGCTTGAAGTTGCTGGGCCCGGAACTCAAACTGCAGTCAACCACATGTGAGTCCAGAAATGTAACCATTACACCATCTGTGGTCCCTAGTATTTAGAGATAGTGTGGGAGAAGCGGGGGGAATTGGCAGAAGGTGAGAGGTGGGGAGTCAAGTGGGGGAAAGCAAAATATGTAAGAAACAAGAGAAAATTATTTGTTGATGATCACATGTGTGGTAATATCTTTGATTGAGCCAATATACAGTGTATACTGGATGGAAAAATCTCATTTTATATACTGTATTGATCTACATTTAGTGACTGTAAATAAATAAGTATATTAATAAATTAAAAAAAAAAACAATTAGGGAACCAGCAGTTAGCGTAATGGCTATGTCGCTGGACTCTGACATAGTCAACTGTGGCTCACGTCCCGGACCTGGAGGCTTAGAACTCACGCTGGGCACGTGTGCGTGCGTGCCCAAGATCCCGAGAGGAGAATGGAGGAGAAGGGATTGTGGCGTGGCCATCCCCCCTGGGGGGTGATTTCTCGCTTTCTGTCTCTATGTCTCTCTCTGTCTGTCTGGCGAGCGCACGCGCCCTATAGCAAAAACCTCTCAAAAAAAAAAAAAAAAACAAAAAAAACAATGGGAGCTAGCAGGGGGCATGTTGGTTAAGGGTGCTGGACTCCCACATAGCCAAGAATGTTCAAGCCTCGGACCTGGCGGCTTGCTTTCTCAGTTTCTCTCTCTCTCACTTTCTCCCTTTCTGGTCAAAATGAAATAAATTAATTAAATTAAATAAAATGATTATTTTTAAAAAGTCAAGTTTGTTTCCTACTAGAGACAATTTGTATTATATTTCTCATGTTGTTTACTGTCATTCCAATTGGTCTTCTCTAGTTTGTTTTGTGGACTAACCCTCCTGGGAGCTGTTTATTGTTGTCGAAGTTTGTCTAGTCAAGCAAGAAGCACGGGTCAGAAAATTTCCTCACATTAGACTTCCCTCTGTGGCTTTCTAAGCAGCTTTAACTATTTCAAAAAGGTAGGAAATTATTATGGGTTCGCCATGACCCCTTACAATTTAGGGAAATTTTGTCAATTAGAATGGACAACATTTGGGGGGCCAGCAGATGGTATGGTGGCTAAGATGCTGGACAATCCCATATGGCCAACCACAGTTTGAGTCCTGGACCTGGTGGCTTGCTTTCCCACTTTCTCTCACTCTCTTCCTCCCTCTCTCTCTGTGTCTCTTTCTGGTCAAATGAAAATAAATGAATGAATAAATAAAATTAAATAAATAATTCTTTTAAAAAAAAGAGAAAAGAATGGACATTTGGAATGGGCTGCCCTCCCTCCCCACCACAAGGGGACCCTAGATTTGCCTACAGCCCAGGGAAACCCTGTGACAACCCTGGCCACCTGGACCAGATTCCATACATCCAAATTTGGATTGACCTAGTCCAACAGGACCCAAAGTGGTTACATAACTGTGGACACAGATCCCTGTCCAAAATCTGTCTGGTTCACCCAGCAAAGAACCAAACAAATGCCTAACCCTCAAAACAAAGTACAGAATGTTCTGCGAGGCTCAGCAGAGGGTTTCATGTCTGGCTCCCTCCCCTCAAATAGATGTCAAACCTGGTCTCAGAGGACTCGGACAGATGTCAGTAATTACACTTTTAGAGAGGATTTCATTTAAGCTCTATAGAGAAAAATGTCCCTTTTTGATATAGCACCGCTGAGAGAGAACCAAACTTACGGCCATCCATCTCCTAGTGTAAGAATGGAGGGGTGCTGAATCGGGTACTTTGGAGGGCCAGAGGTCTCTAGCTGAATTCTCAGAGTGTAGGCCCAGTAACAGGCCTAAAGGAGCCATTTCTTTCTGTGTGCCCCAACGAAATCAAATGAAGAAACCTCCTCCCGCCTATGCAGGACCCCCATCGAGTGCTGCTCACTCACCAACATCTCTGCTGCCTTTTCTAGGCTCAGACCCTACCCTATAGGGTGTGTGCACTTTGACCTGTACACCATCATGAAAAGGGAAATTCACATTGTTGCTGCCCATGGAAATTCTTGGCTGCAGGCAGTGAAACAGCTGGACACATTTAAGGCAGATACAGTACCACTTAGGTAAGAGTTAAAAAATAAAGCGTTGGCAAGTCATTCTTACCTAGACAAAAACTAAAACAATCTCGAGAAACTCAAACTGTATTCATTTATGATCTATGTTCCCTTTTCAACTAGCACCGTGTACAATGGGAAAAATCAAAACCCTTCTTTCTCACAAAACCCTCAGGGGCTCATCACTCCTTTGGAGTCTTTTTACTCACCAGCAGACCTGGGACGATTGTCAGCAAGTCCTCCAGACCTTATTCACACCGGAGGGAAGAGAACGAATCAGGGTGGAATCCCAGAAACTTGTCCTGGGTCCAGACGGGGAGCCAACAACCCATCCATCTCACCTCAAGAGTTCCCCTCTCACCCAGCCCTCCTGGGAAGCCAAGTCAGACCAAGGTGGGGGTCTAGATCAGTATCGCCAGACTCCACTGAGAGAGATTAGCGTGGCGACATGGAAGCCCACCAACTTAAGCTGAGCCAAACCGCAGTGTCCGAGCGAGTACCTGCTGCCTTCCTAGAGAGACTCTTGGGGCCTATCGGTGCTATACTCCCATAGACCCGGAGGCCCCAGAGAACAGGTGAGCAATGAGCATTGTGTTCGTGACCCAGTTGGCCCCAGGCATTAGGAGAAAAATACAAAAGTTAGAGGAGTTTGAGGAAAAAGTTCTGTCTGAAGTTGTGGAGGTAGCTCAGAAGGTTTTCAATAACTGAGAGAACAACAAGACTGTCCAAACTGGAAAGACGAGAGAAAATCAAGAAGGTCCACCCAGCAGTGTTCCCCAGGGACATGGAGGTAAAGGGTGCCCCCAAGCGGGAAAACCAAGTGTCCTGGTCTGGGAAGATGCAGATGACCTTCTTTTGGCAGCCAAGACAAGGGACCAATGCCTCCAGACCACACGGTCCCTGCTGCAGACTCTGATAAACCTTGGCATCGGGCCTCAGCCAAGAAGGCCCAGCTCCACACCCCCTCAGGCCGCATATCTGGGCTACATCTTGGAGAGAGGTAAGGGGACTCTCTCTTCAGGCCGCATCCAAGCCATCTTGAACAGCCCTACTCCAACCACAAAACCACAGGTGCAAGAGGTCCTTGGTGCCAAGGGGTACTGCTGCCTCTGGATCCCAGGCTTTGCTGGAATAGCCAGACCCCTCTATGCCACAACCGAGGGGAGAGGGAGGGGACAGATCCAGACTTGAGATGGACAAAGACAGAGAAAGAGGCCTCCCTGGCCTCGAAGACTGCTTTGGTGAGTGCCCCGGCTTTAGGCCTCCCTGACATCTCAAACCTGTTCCAATTGTACGTGGCTGAGCTGAAGGGCATGGTGAAGAGGGTCCTAATGCAAACTCTGGGACCATGAGCGTGGCCTATGGCCTACTTATCCGAGAAACTAGACTCAGTGGCATCAGGATGGCCAAATTGCCTGCGTGAACAGGGTAGCCAAAAGGGTTTCCCTAACTCCAGTGGGGCCCCTGCAAATCCTCCTCCAGATACACTCTGGAGGAAAAAGAATCGGGCCATGCCCTACGTGCCATAGAGCAGCCTGAGGGATGGGAAGAGCTGCCTGACGGGCGACTGCTCCTTCCAGAGACGTAGGACGGAGCCTCATCTCACAGCTCCCTCAGAGCACTCACCTAGGGGGAGCAAAGATAACAGGACTTCTCCAAAGGGACTATCATATTCCTGGACTGGCGGAAACTGCCAAAGACACAGCAAAATGGTGTCACATCAGTGCCCAAGTGAACTCTAAAATCCAGTCCTCCCACATCATGGGGCCAGGCTACGAGAACAGAACCCTGGAGAACATTGGGAAACAGATTTCGCTGAACTCCCTCACGGGTCGCCGGGATACCACCACCTGCTGGTGTTCATGGACACTTTTTCTGGTTAGCCAGAGGCATACCCCACCAAGTCCGAGACAGCACAGGTAGTTGCTAAAAATTATTGTCTAAAATTGTCCCACGCTTTGGGTTACCAGTAACTCTGGGGTCCAACAATGGCCAGGTGTTTAC